GGATATTTCTTTTGCTCCCTGCCTTTATTACTTAACTATCATTTACTCCCTAGGGATTCTCCTCCTAATACTCCACAAAGGCATAGAAATATTGAGAGGGCAAGAGAGCGTCAAGAAAGGATGTTGGAAAGTCCTGAGCATAGGAGAACACCTCAAAATCCTGCTGTTGGTGGTGGTGTACCTTTTATTCTTCCTTTCCCTATTCCACCCCCTGTTGCTCCTCTTCAAATTCCTCAAGGTCCTGTAGGTGATGATCCATTTGTTGAGGTTCTATATAATGGTCAAATTCTTCACCTTACTCCTGGGATGGCTGCACAAGTGGGTAATTTGCAAAATCAGGTAGGTTGCAGAGTTATATCTCTTTTTCTAATATTTAATATATCTTTTAGGCTCATGCTGCCCCCCTTGCTGCCCCTCCACCTCTATTTCCACCTGCTGCTATGGTAGATGAGGTGTGGATGGTGAATTTGAATACCCAGTAGAATACCTCAATTCCATCAACCTTAGTGGAATGCCTCTAGCAAAATTGAAACTCAAGATAGGTGCACCAGTAATGATCCTTCGAAATATTGATCCAGCAAATGGACAATGCAATGGAACCCAGGCAATCCTCACCTGTGCCTCTTCCCGAGTTTTAGAAGTACGCATTCTGGGAGGAGAATTTGCAGGACACACAGCATTCATTCCCCGCATAAGATTTGAGCCTTCAAATGGTGAACTTCCATTCCAGTTATGCAGAAGGCAATTTCCTGTTCGCCTGGCCTTTTGCATGACAATCAACAAATCTCAGGGACAGTCAGTGAAACATTTAGGACTGGATGTTCAGACCCCAGTATTTACACATGGACAACTTTATGTGGCTCTTTCACGTTGCACATCAAGCAACCGTATCAAAGTTCTCTTCAAACATGGTTCACAACAAACTGTAACACAAAATGTAGTCTATCCAGAGGTATTATTAGATTGATGTAAATGGTAAAAGTACTGATAAATGTCACTTTATTTTGATTGAGATGTAAGAAGAGCCAGAATTGAACATGTGTACCAGAACTAGGATTAAACATGTGTACCAGGGGGTCCAGGGGGCGTGCCCCCAGCAAGCTGTGACCAGTGCTGGAGGAACGGCTGAGCGTTAGCGAGTGCCGTGCCGTAGGCACGGGTCTAAAGCTTGTTATATAGAAGTATACACAAGTACTCGTCGTAACAACGATCAATCATTTTGTTCAGTCTGCGGGGTGTGGCACGTGACGTACCTGTGGTGTTCAAACGTTGCCATACTGTCATGTTTGCCTTCTGCAGCATAGTCGAGCTCTTTACACTCCCCCACCTATTCCTACTGGACTCCTACTGGAATCCCGGACTCCTACTGGAATCCCGGACTCCTACTGGATTCTACTAGGACTCCAGCCAATTTCATATCGCCTGAACACCATACAAATTTTGCATCTCAGTCCTACTGGAGTCCTAGTAGATTCCTACTGGAATGATCCCAAATCACAAGGAATTAAGGATTCCTAAGGAATGGGTATAGTGGAGTCCAGTACAAGGAGTCCAGTAGGAGTCCACTAGGAATTTCCGAGTACAAGGAGTCCAGTAAGTCCAGTAGTTTGTCACTATTATTGTTATTATATAATAATAAAAAAAGCGCAACATGCATGGATTGAACACTCAACCTCATGGACACACCAACATTTTACGGAGTGAGCACTTTACCACTTGTACCACATAGGCATTATTATACAGGTATATTTTATGCTCTACATACCAACCGTAAGGCTAGCTTCCTAGAAAGGATGCCGGCAAATTCCGCAAGTGGGAATTTGCCCAAACCCTCAACCTAGATCCTTCCACGTCACCACCACCCATCAACGAGGCTTCGACAACCACCACCATCCAACCACTGCCCTCGCCATCTGTCGACAAACACCGCGCCCATCAACACACCAGAAAAGGGCACCCAGGTACGATGTGCATCATCCCACCAGCCACATCACCGCCCGCTCACACCGTTTAGCCAACCAACAGCCCATGTACGAAAATGAACGCCCATGTACGAACACGAACGCCCACGAAGGAAAACGACCACCCACCCACGAAACGACTGTCCAC